TACACAACAACAAACAATATCACAACCCAGTAGCTTACATGAATAATCGTTCCTTTCTTTTCTTTAAAAAAAACGTATCATGGAGGCACATCATATATAATAACATCTCGACCCAGAACAATTATTTGTAGGTCTATAAATACGTGTTCCTTACGGGATTCAAATCCACGGCCCTCAGCACTGCAAATCGTTACTAAGCCACTGCACCACGGAGCCGTCAAAATTATTGGAATAAAAAAGATAATGAAAAACAAACATTTAATTAGTTTACTATACAATTAATGTTTATCACAAGGTTCGGCATTACACAAAACAACCAACGAATTGATCACTTATTAATTTTATGCTTAACATTTATAAAAAAACATTTGTTTCCGGAAGTCTTTTCAAAACTTTTGCGGATAAATAGAAAATACTTGGGCTAGTCCATACGTGCCGTGACTAACAATGAATTAAGATGCTCGGTGATACACGAATCACTTAAATTGGGTTTGACATGACTATTGCCAACTCGTTGTTCGCTTTTGGAAATTCCACGCGTGAAAGGACGATTTTTTAAACAAATATTAAAAATCTTTTAAACTACATTTGCGCTGAGAAATTGGGTGGTTTCATTAATTTTAGTGCACATAGAGAAATAGGAAGTGATAATCAATTCGACTGTATGTTCTTTTCTTGTATGTATATAACACGATATCTTCCTTAATTTTAATGATTTTTTAAAAATTAATATATATTCTATTTCAGGGGTGATATTTTATATAATCTCTAGCGTCGGCGACATGCTATTTTCTATTTATTACGCATTATCTCGTATACAGACGTCTCAGGATATACTTACACGAGACGTACGTTCAGACTCCCGAACAAACCGGCTTTGGTAAAGGGCAAGTAGTACAATCTGCCACATTGTCTTGGGTATGTGGACTATGAAAAAGCCTATGTTTCGAAATTTAGGCGGTGCTATAGTCCCTTCAATGGTGCTACGTCGATTTTCAGTATAACAAAGTGCTGAAGTATTTATACATCAGAGTATATAATCAGAACGAAACCTATCCAAATGCAGAGAGGTGTAATGGTCGCTACTCGCTATAAACGGTCAGTTCTAGTCATCAGTTGAACTGATATCAGTTCAAACGATTTAAAGCCAAAGAAAGTTCCACACACACACGGTCAGTTCAACTGATCATTCAACTGATCAGTTCAAACTAGGACTGTAGATATTTTTTAAAATATCGGATTTTCCATGTATTGTTAATTATTAATATATTAATATCGAAGTTTTATAAATCGAAAAAAATATTAATATATCGGCTTTATTTAAAAAAAACAATCGTAAGTCATTCAGTATAGTTCATTCATTATATTTATTTAGCAAATTTAATTATAAATTTATGAAAATGTTAGATTGTAGTTCTTATTAATTATTGTTTAATTTAACTAAGACGATTATGTGTTCCAATATTATTCAGTAAGAGATTTCAAAATACTCGTTGTTTTATATGCTGAACATGTCTGTTTTATATGTTAAGAAGCACAGATGCTAAAGATTTTTTTTATAGGAAAAGGGTGACAAGCGAGCACACAGTCCACCTGATGGTAAAATGTTGCAGTGGCCCATAGACATCTACATTTATCCTCGTTTGCAAATCAAAATGAAGGTGCGTTGTCAGCCTTGAGGACTAAGATGGATTGCCTCTTTTCCAGTAAAAAGGGTCTCCGGTTCTCTACCCTCACCATACGAAACACAGCAGCATTAAGCTGCTATTTGACGCTGGTATTCTGTGAGAGCGTGGTCCTTCCCCGCCGATCTAGCCGACCCATTCATGCTACAACTATACAATTCATATAGCTGCAGCATGGATCTACCACGTAAAAGCTGTGTGTAGCTGAAGAAATCAAATATTTACCAGCTATTTATGATAGAACGGGAGTAAACTATCTATCTAGCGGATAGTCGATGACGACTGTAACTCAAGTTCACAAGAAATCTAAGCGATCAAAATAACTTCAGGTTTATATTAACATCGAAGCAATTGTTTTGTCGCTTTCTCTATTAGTTTACATGCGCAGACACTTATACACAAAATGGCATCACTTTTAAGTATCGAAATCCACTTCAAACCATTATCTAAAAGATAAAACAGGAGCGACAAACCGTGGTTAAGGCAAATACAGTAAATAAAATAGTTGGTTTTTGTTAAAATATTATAAATAAAGAATATACAAAATTATATTTCATAAGCAAATAGATAAACTGGGAAAAAATTAAAAGCATAATATAGTGTATACAAATAAAGAAGAATTATCTCTATACACTAATATGTCTTGTGATGATCATCATCATTATAGCCCTTCACAAGTCTATTCCTGAACATAGGCCTCCCCCAAGTAATTCCACAAAGCACGGTCCTGAGCCACCTGCATCCATCGGCTTTCGGCATGTCTTACCAGGTCGTCACTCCATCTAGTGGGGGGTCGCCCTACACTACGCCTACCGGCACGAGGCTGCCACTCGAGGACCCTTATCCTTCAAAAAAAAGGTTATTAGACTTGTATTTAAGTATATTTTAATGACAAATCCATTTCTGGTCTATTTTTGTACGAGCTTAAAGGTTAAAAAATCCGGCAGCGTAAAAAAGTTTACTGTAAAAAAATACCCCATGGCATATTCAAAACCAAGATTAATATAACGACACCCCGTATGTTAAAATACATCAAGAGTGTGCCAAAGAAATAGATACATACATACCTACACTCAATAAACATTATCCTCTTGCAGTCGTGAAAAAAGGTAAAAATATTAAGTCATCATTTTATCAAATCTAAGCTTCATAGCGATAAAAGCGTGTCAATTCTGTGGCCTTGAAGTCTTGTTTTATTTGCGTTTTCATTCTTTTGCTTGATTTTCATAGACTGGCACACTTCGTTCTTTCACATTTTTTACTTGTAGTAACAATTTGTTGAATGAGTTATGTAAATGATTATACGGTATTACGTTGTATTGTTTTGTTAAAAACACATAACTGTTGAGATATTCAGGCGGCATTTAGTTCATACAAGCGTTTACTGTTTTCTCCCTGGATAACTGCATCTAGTCTAGAACAAATAGTTTTTTTGTTGCGGTTTAATACTACCATTGTCACGATTCAAAGTTTTTTTTGCTTTTTTGCATAAGTTAATTGTTTTTAAAACTAAGAACCATCAAATTTTATTAAAACTGTCTATTTATAGAATTCAATGCTAGAAATTTAAATGTAGGTTCCTATTAGCCGCCATGGTTAACAGGCTAGCGCGTAAATACTAGCACTAACGTGCGATCTAGGTATTTACTTCCAGTATACGTTTACGATGGATATGATTCCATGACCCATATGTCATCAATATGTAAATGATGACATTTGGATCTGAGGCTTGATCCTTCATTGCTGACTATATTCGGAAGCTCAAAATCACTCAGCGAGCTACGGAAGGGGCTAAGTATAGGGTTTCTCTGTGTGAAAGACTTCTCGATGAGGACATCCGCAGTGAAACAAGAGTAACCGATACACAGGTCGAAGCGAAAAATAACCTCGTACTGACAACCTGTTGAGAAGAAAAGTTTTTGAGTAGGTAACCTCGTGAATACATCGGTGCAATTCAAAGTTTTCATAGAATTACTTACGTGTATTTACTTCTGCAAACCAGTTCAAATGGAGTTTTAAAGGCAGTAACTACTTTTTCTCGTAACAACACATATTAATTACATAGTTTACTATAAAACACTAGATAGTTTTTTTAAGTGTTGTTTTGTTTGAAAATTCTCACACTTTAAACTTATAAACCAGGAGTGGTCCGTCACCATAAAAAAAAGTAAGTTTGTAATTGTAATTGTAATGTAATTGTAAGCTCCAGCTGCGATCCTTAAAGGAGGACCCTGCGCAAGCAGACACCGCGCAACCAGACACCGAACAACCGGGGATGTGGTGGTGTTTTTTTATAGCACAAGGGTGACAAACGATCACACAGTCGTCTGATATTAAATGGATGCTGTGGCATCTACACCTATGCTCGAACAAGAATCAAAATGTAGATGCGTTTTAATCATTGAGGACAAAGATGAAATGCTTCGTTTCCAGTAAAAATGATCTCCGGTTTTCACCAAACGAAACTCAGCAAAATTGAGCTGCAATTTTACACTGGTATTCTGTGAGAGCGTGGTCCCTTATTAAAGCTTTATTATGGTTGTAGCACGAATACGTCGGCTCGACCACGCTCTTCCAGAATACCAGCGTAAAATAGAAGCTTAATGATGTACGTAGGGTGAGACGTTGATAATCGGAAAGCCTTTTTATAAGAAACGAGGCATTCCAACTTAGTCTACATGAGCCTCATATTTCTATGGGCTACAATATTCACGAACCCTCATTCGGAGTGTGTACTTGTTTGCCATTGTCATTGTAACTTTTATTACTCGTTAATGGAGCTTTTATATGAAAAATTAAGTATTGATAACATTCAAATTGCTTGAAATGGTGTTATTTCCTGTAATGTAATACACTAAGCTATAAGCACAAGTAATTTGTAGTTTCCCTTGTGATTACTTATATAGAGCTTATTATAAAGAAAATAAAAATGAAAAATGCCATGTTACGATATCTGTAAATGGTTAGTACATTCCCTTATTTAACAATATGCATTATGTGGGATTAAAGAGTTAAGTGTTCCCAATATTATAAAATATTATTATATTTAAGCACGTCTTACGTAAAGTATTACGCCGCACCGCACGTGCAATTTTCAAGTTCACGAACTTTACAGCAACCGTCCGAATTCTCAGGCTTTCACGCAATACAGTATTATGAAATCTGGACTTCACTTTTACTTCCAGACCACTGAGAAAGTTCATTCTATGATTTCGGTGAGTTTTTTCAACGTACTGCAACTACCGAGGGGTGCGGAGAGGTATTTAAGGTTATACCGTTCGCGCCGGCGCACAGTCTGAGCGAAGACAGCTTACGATGTGGAGGACGTGTACAGCCTTTGCGCTTGTGGCCGCGTGCGTCGCGCTTCCCGCCCAAGAATCCGGTCCGACGATAAACGACTTCGAAAACCTTAGTGAATGCTTCAGAAAAGACTCCACATCATGCCTCAAATACAAATTCTTTTCCTACTTAGACAAAGTGATCGGCCAAAAGGAAACATTCTCTTTGTCCGATGGCGTGACCGTTGTAAGAGCTAACGACATCCCGTCCGAGATTGGAGCACCAAGATCGATGGATCCCGTTGCAAGACTTAAGAGATATTTCGAGACTCACTCGATTCGTGTTGAAGTCAAAGGATCGGATGTAATTGATGCAGTAACAAGCGCTGGGCGTGCTTTCGAGGATACAGTTTCGTCGTTTTCAGAAGAGACCGATGTTACAGAAGAAGGTAGAGGAAAGAAAAAGAAAGCTTCTAAAATCCTTGGACCATTGATAGCAGCAGTAATGTTGAAGATGATGGCGATATTGCCTCTGGCAATTGGCGCGATCGCACTGATAGCTGGAAAAGCGTTGTTGATAGGAAAACTGGCATTAGTTCTGTCTGCTGTTATAGGATTAAAGAAGTTGCTGTCGCAACAAAAACACGTGACCTATGAAGTGATTGCTCACCCACACCATTCATCAAGTCACACGTCCAGTCACGATTACGGTGGCACCAGTGGATACGGCGGAGACTCAAGCAGCTACAGCACCGGCGGTGGACACGGAAGCGGATGGGGACGTTCTCTAGAATCCCAAAGCTTGGCGTACTCAGCGCAAAAGCCCCAGTAGCGCGTGGCCTAGTTAAGCGACCTCTTTACGGAGACGATTTCTCCTCACCGCCCTCTCTGTGTTGAATTATTTATAATTGAGTCGAGTGTGAATGTGATGTACGTTTGTATTTATTTTGACTGAGTACGTATTTAAGCTCATATTCATCTGCCATTAACCACAATGTATAAGTCATAACTATTTCTTCGAGTATGCCTCATAGGCATGTAGCTATATTTATAGTGTAGTGTATGTAATATGGTTCTATATCTACATGGTATAATATATGCCTAAGATTATATATATTTTTTTAATATGCACTAGTGTTAGTAACTTATATATGGTTTTCTAAACCATCACTTGGCTTTAATTTTAAAATATTTTAAGCTGTTGAAAGACTTGTATTTTTATATTTATGTACAGATATTATTATAAATATTCTATACAATATCTTTTCTCACGGGTTGTTACTTCAAAGACTTATTTATTTTTTGTATCGACTTCTTTTTTTGTTTTACCATTATTTTAAAATTTTCAATGCTCTTCGTTGTTATCATCATTGTTATACCGATAAAATACGTTAATTTATTTTCATTAAATCATAAAATTTTGTTGATTTATTCCTTTTTACCTCTTTCCTAGCGATTATATTATATATAAATATAAATAAACACATGTAAGAAAAACTATTTATATGGCTTACAAATAGTTGTTCCGGGTCTGGATGTTTGTTCTCATACAATTTATATTTGTAAAATGCTTGCTAAAGTATTTTTAAAGGAAATGAAAAAAAAAATTGCGAGGCAAACGTGCGATTACGTTCATATATTTTACAATAATCTTTCACAAAATTGTCATTTGTATAAATTCACAAATTTGTGTATTTGTTGGAGAGACTTTACAATTTTATACTTGATATAGGTACAACAGAACGTAATTGAACATGTGTATAAATCATTTTCATTTGATTAGAAAAGATTTAAAAATTAGTGCAAGAGTTTCTCTTTCTCTTGCTCTTGCACTTTAGTGTCGATGAGCCGTGGTATCTCAGATGTTTAACGGTCGATGTAAATATAACAGAACGCGACTAACCCGGGTTCGATCCCCACCGGCACCAATGAAATTGTTAGCTGCAATTTTAAGTGCTGATTTACCACGTGATCGGTGGTGAAGGAAAACATCGTGAGGAAACCTGCATGTCTGAGGAATAAGAGAAAAAAATTCGAAGAATTGTGAAGTTTGCCAACACGCTCTCAGAAATGAGGGGAGGCCAGCAGTGGGACGTATATAGGCTGTAACTTTACTTTACTTTTACTTTAGGTACTTTAGTGCAAGAGCAAAAAATCTTTTAAAATTTTTTGTTTTAAATTTTTTGGCAATGGAATAATAATAAAATACTAACCTAAAAATATTTTATGTAAAACTTGAAATGACCAGAACAGCACAAATGATACTATTTCCTATCACTTATGATAGTATCAAGAACTATGTTATTGTTATCAATAAAAACTATAATGAAATAATATAATGAAATAATTTATGATGAGTTAATTGCACCCATAATTGGTTTAGAATACTGCTGTTTACTTAGCCGTAGCTTGTGTTATTATTTTTGACTTTTTGATTAAGACCTCAAAGTTTTTTGCCCTATAGTTTGAAATAAAAGGGTAAGTTCCAAGATGGTTTAAATGTTTATTATAAAAAATATTAACTACTTGAAGTAATGCGAAATACATCGATTAACTACAGATTGAAATAAATCATCTGAACAAATTAATAAAATTGAAGTGTCGGTTTGTAATGTAAAAATAATAGCTTTTTCTAAATACATAAAGTATATACGGTAGGTACTTATAACAAAAACACAAATTCAAAAATGTTTGTCTATATGTCCGTTTGTTCCGGATAATCACCGAACCGAAAAAAAGCTTTTACAAGCAGATAACAGATGTAATAAGGAGTAACTTAGGCTATTTCTATTTTTTTAAAGAATTAGGGTTCCTCTTAATAAAATTAAAACTCTAAATTACACGCGGGCGAAGTCGTGAGGAAAGGCTTACTTTCTTATTTTTAGTTTTAATCAGTTGTTCATTCAATCTTTAATTCATAAAAAACCGATTGCAAATAAATCATTATCATTATTATTATCATTATCATTAAAACATAAAACATAATACAAAGGTAATGTAATAAAAAATATATACTGGACAGGAAATGCGATAAAACCATTGACAAGGCATTAGAAGCATTACCAAAATGTTTGTCAGAAACAAATTAATGTAATAACACATAAACTTGCCGAGTGATGGCAACATATGAAGATACATCATGACATTTTTTGTTCCATGGTTAATTTAAGAGGCGACTATTGGTTTCTGATACATATGCGTATAACCGATTGGTTTTCGCCAGACGTAAAGTACTAAGACTCTTTCCAAACTTGGCAACTATGGCAAGTAAAAATTTTCTTACGTATGTAAATGTTATTGATGTTATATGATACATCTAAGTTTTAAGAAAAAAATCCACATTAGGTTTTTTACCAGTTCTGCCAGATGTTTATCTGGATTTCATGTATGAATATAGTACTCTTTTCTAAGTACACAGTACATGACTTTCCTTATATCCAGGTCGAACGTTTGACCTCTAACACTGGAGAAAGGTAAGCTGGGTGAAATCATCAGATTGGTCACGTCTGTAATATTTCATGAAAGTAAAATCTGCAATATTCTATTGTGGTTCACGATCTTTATAAATACAATTAATATGGTTTGAAGAAGCCTTTTGGCATATGAGTAAAAAAGAGTGTGTTTTGTATCAAATTTATTTAAACTAGCAATTGGAGTTAAGGTGCGTGTTTGAGTTAAATGCAGCGCTAGTCATTATTTATTAGGTTTTTAGAAGATCTACTTTTTTATTAAAAGGATATATCAACTAATGAAAAATCTATTAAATTTCTATAAAATCTCGATTCCATAATAGCCAATTCCCATTTTAGGAGTAAAAACTTGATGAATCTTCCTACAACTGAACCACATTTCTGTGGTGCGAATTAATTGTTGACAACATACATCTCCACATAAAGTAAGCTTTATTTTATTTTGCGATTGACACTAGGATAGGCAATTTATTAATGGCAATTTATAATATTTCGATCTATTTAATTTTTTCAAAGGAATAAAATTCGATTTTATAAAGAAAATATTTTAAAATTTGGGCGTATTTCTTACGCGATATATTGTAGCGAGAGCGCATGGAACAGGAGGAATGGGACCGAACGCTCAAGGTCATTCGCTAGGAGTAGCACCTTAAATCGTTATCCATAACGTTTCACTATGTATTAAGACTCTTTTTGTTCCTAGGAGTTCTAGCTAGATAAGGTCTAGCTAGATACCATCCTCTTAACTATTCCGACCATCAAATAGTACTACTACCACTTCTGTGCTCCGGCCAGAAGCGTATTGGGACTATAATTACAGACTGTATGGCATTTCATCTTAGTCCTCAGGTGTGACAACATGATGGTAAGTGGTTACTGTAGCACATAGACATCTACATCTATACTCGATTACAAATCAAATGCAGCTGCGTTGTCACCCGTGAGGACTAAGATGGAATGCCTCGTTTCCGGTAATAAAGGGTTTCCTGATCTCTAGACTCACCATACGAAACACATCAGTATTAAGCTGCTATTTTACGCTGGTAGTCTGTGAGCGCGTAGTCCTTCTCCGGTCGACTTATACATTCGGCATTTAGCGATAAATAGCGTCTTAATGCTGCTATTTCGTAAGGTGAGTTTAGAGAACTAGAAATCTTTTAAGTAGTTACGAGGCATTATGTCTTAGTCCTCAGAGGTGACAATATATCTACAGTCAGATTTTTTCGGAATATGTAGGTAGCTGGCAGTGGCGAAGCTTCCATTAAAGCCGAAAAGCCGGGCTTGCCTTATTAAACCTGAATCAATCAATAATATCAATCAATAATATCAACTAATAAAATAACTCGTTAAATGTTTCAAGCTATTTCAAATTTCCCGCGCACTCCACTGTTCGACACATGTCGACCGATGACCTCGTATTGCGTTCGCGATACTGCTGCTGTCATAAAAAATGAGTTTTAATAGAGCTAATAGTTGTCTCCCTCGCTCGCGTGGGCTTTTTACGGGGCTTTAGAGAAGACGATCGCTCTCTTTCTAACCTATGGCAAAATATTCTATAATGAAATATAACTACAATTGTATATATAGCAATTAGTATAGAGATTTAAAGCGGGTTTTTTTGGTTGGGTCACCGGTTTTTCAGGCTTTTGGGAATAAATTTGTTAAAAGCGGAGGCGCGCGGGCAATACGTTTGCAAGTACATTTCACGTTTCAATGTTTATTTACTCTGTGTGCTTATCTTAAGCTATTTAATATTACGAGTTCAAAATGTATGCTTTTTTAAAGATTTTTAATGAAAATGGACGATAATAGTGTTGTTCCTTGTGATGAATTGAAGTGTGTTAAAGTGATAATCGGAGAGGAAATCTTTAAACTTTGTTGAGATAATACACAAGGTTAAGAGTGTATTTTAAACAGTTATTGGTACAATTAAAACGTTCACCAACATTTTACGTGGACGTAATTAAATCTTTCCAAAAGAAAGCGAGACGATTCCACTTATCTTATCTTATCTCTTATCCATTAGAATGTAAATAATTTTTTTTTTAATTTTGTACATAGTTTGTTTGTACTTTGTTCGTGTTTTACTTTTGTTCATGTATTGTATTGGATGTAAATATTTTTTTACTTTCGCTTAAACAAACCCAATCGGCTTTCTTCAAAGCCACCGAAGCTATGCAATTGATGATATGTAATCTATCTAGCAGTGGTATGCCTTCTGTGTGCTTTGTTAAACACGTCCTTGACATCACTGAATATGAAACTGAAGCGTGGAGACAGATCAAGATTGGTGTATTTTTATAAAACTGCTACACACCCACACAACCACAATCTACAGAGTGCTTCAAAAAAATGTATACAC